TGCATATTGATTACCCTGGCATCAATTGAAATATTACTCTTATAGGAGTAAATTCCAATTAATTGTATCAAAATCCAATAAAAACACTAGTAAATATCTCGAGTCAATTTTTACGGCTGAAATCTTCCATCATTAAGCTAACATTTGATAACTCGATTTATTACACAAATTTTCATATCATTTCCAACGTAATGGTCTATAAAGCCCAAAAAAGGTGAGAGGGATAAAGACTGAAATGGTAGAACCTTACAAAATCGCAAATACTCCTTGCTTAGAACATTTAGAAGCACTATTATGCAACTGATCTTCGCATTTTTACGCTTGGACTTAATCTCAGCAATCTCTATGCCAAAACCCCCTTGTATGGAAAGGTTCCAGGAGCTGACTCAACGAAATATGAAATTGAATGCTCTCTATGGGATACGTCGACACGGAGCTTAAACATTGAATACTGCTTCTGGCACTCAGATCTTATGATGACCATTGGTTGTTGTTGGGTTGAGAGGTCTCTGTACTCGTCACTTCCCTATTGAGATCAACATCGCAGCAGCAAGTTCCAGAATGTTCTAAAGCGCATAGTATCGCTTAGTCTAATTGGGCACTTTACAAATGTTGGCTAAAATATCCTTCAGGTTCTAACCTAATTAATAATAATCCCCATCAAACCCCATGTACCTACACCGATTTAGAACATTTCTGGTTAGTAATTACCAAATATTCGTACTTTGACCGGCAAGTCTACCGTGAAGTTTTAAAGAACAAGTGTATTTTTCAATGATCATCCATCTTAAACCAGGCAAATTTAAAAATTGATTTTTCGGTATTTCATCGAGTTCAAATGCCCTAGATATTGCAGAATAATATTTAACTTTTGGAAACTGAGTCGTTTTAGTTAATATATTGTGTGAAAAATGGTCAGAACATTACATTGAATTGATCACAAATATATTGGGAAAATGTGATTATATATATATATTTATGAGAAATATGTATTATAAGTTTATGTTTTTAACTATTACAATTTGTTCTAATTTTGAAATTAAGAACATGGAGTGCATATTCGTTGTTAAACATTTCCTTTTTACTTACAAACCATTAAATGAGCTTAGATTAACTTCATATTATGGTTCTCTGCTGAATAAAAATGTTTGACTAACCTGTCTTTGCTTTGCTGAGGCTAAAAAACTGTCATATATCATTCAAAATCCTTTAACATTCTCAGCCAATAGGAGATTAAATGAATGGAAACGGTAAGTGTGGTCATTCTTGATTAAAAAAAGGAGATTAAGCTCATAATATTTTGATGAAACGTTTGCAACCAACCAGGAAACGATTCTTGAAAGTGGATTTTTGTAAAATGAGCTTCCACAGTCAAAGTTCAAGAACTAAGTGCAGTAACTTATTGAAAATCTTTGATCGTCACCATTTTATCATTTATTGAACCTTGTGAAGGACTGCATTGACTTGTGCCCAGAATTGGCTATAGCAAGACCACCAAGTTTTTAATGGCTCCCAGGATTAGCAGAGCTATAGAGAAAACAGACCTATGACATGGAATACGTTAATTTGAGCTGTGTCATCGACACGGGGTTTAGTCATTGCCATATAATGGAGGATTCGTTAAACAATGCGGAGACTATTGATTGGTATTTGACTGAAAGTCCTCTGAGTTCACTACAGCATCTTCGAGTATGTCTGAGTGTGCATGAGATTTCTTTGTTCAGCCACACAACTTTCTATCAAATGATTCAGCTTCTTCGCCTGTTTAAAATTATAGTTATTCTATTAATGTGAGCAATATAATGACAATACGAATAATTAAAAATAATAGAAAAATAAAATTCAACGTTTAAATTGAGTTAATGAAAGCAAAACGGAAATTGCCGGACTTGAAATAAGTTAAACCAAAACTTAAAGATACAAGGCAATCACTGTCCCAATAATAAAGGGAATTTTTAAATTCAATAAATTCATTTATTAATGAGACATATTTCTTTATTGTTTGAAAACCTAAACAATATAAATCAAGCTGGTGTGACTTTTGAAATTAAAAAGGAGTTTACGAAATTTATAGTTTGTTATTTACTATTAGATATTTCCAATCGGGCTTATAATCCCACAAGCATAGAATTCAAAGCTATTGACGGTTGCGTGATTAAGGCCTCAGCTGTTGGAAATTTTGGCATTAAATTCAAGCTTAAATAAATTCCTGATAAAAATTGGCTCCACTTGTTTAGGGAAATGGATTTTATTTCAATTAGTAGTTGAGTTGTTTTACGAGTGCTTTCGAGGGAATGCTAATGCTATTATTTCATTTGTACTTAAACTAATTATAATGTCTGCTATTTAAAGGAAATTATATTTTGTTACTAAGGCACTTTTAGCAACGTTAATGCCTCCTTCCACTTAGTAGGGAAAAAAAGTCAATTTTTTTTGCAGATTTACCTAACTTTCAACGTCATTGCTGAAATGATTTAATTAATCTTTAAAATAGCACAATACGCATTGGAAGTAACTTTGAATGTGCTCACTTGATTTGAACAAAAAAATTGGCACTAGTAAATGGAATGGCAAATTTTCTCAGGGCCAATCGTGATAGACATGAATTATGTGCTACTGGAGTCGTAAGTTAAATTTTTAATGTGTGTGTGTGGTCGATGTTAGTGAGATATTTAATAAAAGTTCGGGGCAAAAACGGCATCTAACCTGCTCTATAAATAGAAAAATCAGGCAAGTACTACTCTATTCTATTTTTTTTCTAATAGTATATATGTTTTTGATCTTAGAGTTAAAACGATTGAATAATGCACTTCGCATCAAGGTCCTAGGGCGTCCAGTCTTCAATAAAACTTTCACAGACAAAGTGGAGGGGATTTCAAAATTTGACGATTTTATTCTGACGCCAAGTTTCCATTGGCGCCATTTTGTTAAAATGGCCTTCATGTCCTAAGCGATTGGGTGCGTTTCATTTAGTTAGAGCCCAGCTATAAAGGGGTCTGGAAGGCAGCTGCATATCGACTCTTAAAGGCTACGATTTGAATTTTTTCCATTTCGTTAACCTGCAAGCCTCAAATAAGCTAGAATTTGTCAAAAAATAGTAAAATAAGGTAAACATTCGAGGTTTTAGTCTTAAAAAATCAATTTAATTTCTACATAAGAATGTGGAGAGCTGTTGAATAACATAAATTGAATTTTACAGTCAGTGAATTTTGTTTCTTTAATACTGAAACACCAACTAGATGGTATTAGAGTATACAATATGCCATGTGAGTGCAGGCATAATTTGGACAGAAAAAGAACAAGTTTTCAGAATTAAATTTACGCGATGAATTGTCCACGAACTTTCAATTGGCGGAAATTAACAGTGCAAGGTCTAAAGTTCCTTTCGAAAGGGAAGACTTGGAATTTCCTCCTCTTATGTCAGTCTTTTATTTACATGTCTTACCAATCAATAACTATCATAGACCTTGACCTTAATAAAAGATTTCAAATCGATTGGCCAGGGGTTTATTGTATTCACATCAAAACCTACTTTTTCCCTTTAATTTATTAAACATTGCTCCTAAAGAAATGAGTTCATGGACCTTATCGTAACCAGCTTAGAAATGCAAACAGCCTTCAATCACATGTGGTTATTTAAATGGTTTTGATCTTTAAATCTTAATAGCAATTGGTGAAATAAATGTCCTAATATAGTTAAAATATTCCCCTGGGAAAGTACAAGTGCCAGGTCAAGGAGCATGCGATCCATCCCCCTAAAGTACTTGGCATGCTGAGTTGTTAATTGAAATAAAATTAAAATAAAAATAACAAGAGTAAAAGCTCAATTTCACTTTTCAAACTGACACTTTACTAAATATTTATTTATTTATTTCAAATGGCAGGCGTTTTGAAAGTTATCATTAGCCATATAGCTGACTTCAGGCTTCACAGAGGAGGAGGAACATCAAAGTGACAAAAAGTCGAGAGGGGGACAGAATAATGATTCACAGATGTGACAGAGACAGACAAAAGAGCAGAGAATTGGTAAGATGAGTACTGTAAATGGGTTGAATATGGCATAGTGGGGGTAGTTTGAAGTCAGAAATCAACTGCCGGTTAATAGACTTTTTTGCCGTATGAGTATACGTTGCCCAGGGTGCACCACGTGGAGGTAAGTCTATCGCACACCCCACTTTACTAAATATAGATTGCGTAAACTTGAATTGCCTTTGCCAAAAAAGAAAAATTATCGTAATGTAAAAAAGTGTATTTAACGTTTCCCTTGAGTAAATGACATTTTTTACTATCTAAGTCTGCTTTATTTTTTCTATTAATTTTATTGCCATATTTATATATTTTAAAGTCATAAGTAGGTTTTAATGTGCGTTATGGTGATTAATGTATCCTTAACATCTATTCTTTGTCCGGAAACGGCCTATCGGTTCTAGTGAATCGTAAAAGGTTGGCAAAGAGAGTTTCTATTTACTCAAAAATATTTTTGAAATGTACCACTATATTTCACGATTTTACTGGTCATTAGAAATGTTGTTGCGTCAGAAAAAATCTATTCAATGATCTTATTTGGTTTGACTATTCTCCATGAACCCCTAAATGAAGGGGAATGTAAATGTGTTAGCGCACTAGTCAGCGCACATGTTTAGGGTCTACTTCGTGATTTCTGGGAAAAAATAATAAGCAAAAAGAAAGGATTGTTGCAGCATGTCTAACCTATTTTACTATCGAACTTCTATATATAATTTGGACAATTCTTTTATTGATTGTCGTTGTAGCTCCAGTGTCAAATGCCATATCGATTGGCCGCTTATTTCAAACAAAAAATTGCTCAAGGTCAAAACTAAGCAAAATTTTCATTAGTCTAAAACTAATAACTATTAATTAGAAATCAATAGAATTAGCTATTACTTGGACGGTGATCTAAACTTGGGAATTGTGGTTAGAATCATTGTGATTTAAACCTGAGATGTAGTGAGGTTTGTATATTTTAGCTTGGAGTTCAGATGTCCCTACAAGTGCTCAATCCTTTGCCTAGCCCTCGATGCTCTCCCCTCTTATCTCCAAGTAGCAACAAAAACAGCCAATCCCAACAGCAATATTCCCTACAATTCCAGTGCCGATGTTCCTCAACAGAATCAGCCTCTTCAGCGGGACCTTCTCAACTCTCGTCAGCTAACGGAAGTCCAAAACACATCACCACCGCCACCCACCGTCCCGAGACCACCTACTTTCCCGTCTCCATGGCGGCTTCAAGAAGCAATGACAAATTACGTAGGGTACGCTTTCGACCTTCACCTCTGCCTGTCATTGCAACTACCGTTACATCGGTGTCAGAGGTTAAGTCGTCTTGTGAAGGCGAAAGCACTAAAGCCGATTCCGCAGCGCCAAAAGAAGGAAAAAGCGCAGAAAACAAAAAGAAAGAGAAAAGTAAAAAGGTTAGCAGGAAATTTTGTTCTGCTTATAACGTTGTTTGGCCACTACTTGAATATGCCTATGTTGTTAGCTTTGAAGCACAAACTGTTCGTGGAAGGCAAACTGCAGGTTTGTCTTAATAGTCTACATTTTTGTCTTAAAATTGATGACTGAAATTTCCACAATGATATGAATGTTGCCACGGGGCTACACCTTATGATCTGAATTGTTCATCGTGGGGCGAAATATGGACTTTTGAAATTCAAAATTAGACATTGTACTAATGCGCATTACTTCTTTATTGTTGTTCAAATGTTTGCTTCAAAAGCCTATATATATACTTATCGTGAGAAATATTTGAGCGCGTAGAACGGCTTGGAATCCCCAAATAAGAGGACGGAAAACAAGACTTGCCCATCCTTCCTCCATCCCCACTATATTAATCAATTTGGATTCTCTAGTTCTACTTACAAAAGTCAATCTTGTGATCCATTGCTTGGCATATATGAGCACGTTGATTACCTTTCGGTTCAGAGTGTAGATGGTCCAATATGGTTAGTGCCTAATCGAACTAAGGTAATATGAAACTGTTTAGTTATAAGTATTTTAAGAATTCAATGTTTTAGGAAACAGAGAGGGTTTATAATGGGTTCATGCTAAACAGGATAAAGTAGTGTGTGAGCTTTATAAATGGCCAATAGAAAACCATGACTCCTTTTGATCCGGAATTTTGTACAAAAAACGATAAGGAAGTATAATTGGTTTATGTATTAAAAATTCAAATACTTTAGCGGGCAAATAGCCTGTCTGGATGGCCAGTGATGTCACGACAATGAAAAGATGCTTTTACTTGGTCGAGAATTCACTGTCAGTCTGGAGGAATTAATCCGAACTGCAAGTAAATAAATGTGTGTGAACAACAATAACGTGCCAACTACATGTAGGGAGGTTCGTACTGTTAACTTGACTATTCAAAATAATTCACTGCCCCCCCCCCTAAATAAATTTGGGAGAGGGTTGAAAGCGCCTATGCTGCAGGTGCAAGTGCGACTGTGGACTGGGAGTTCGTATACTACTTAAATCGACCACTGAGTTACTCATGAATGCAAGTTAGCAGTAAGCGAGTCTGCCCTCTCTCTTTTAACTGAGATAGAAAAATGTCTGGTAAGTTAATGTGGTCTCTTAGTTGTTGGTTAAAATGCAAACAGAAAGGCAATATAAAATGAACCAGAATCTTCGCAAAGTTTTAAATATTTAATAATTTTTTGCATTACAGGAAAATGATCCCGTTGAATCGCTAGAAGTCCCCGATATCAATGAAATAATCACTACAAGTGCAAATATCACCTCAAAGACTTCGACCACTGCATCTATTCATTTTGCATCACGATTCAACTTCCCAAATCGTCGAAAGACCCCTCCACCAATGGCAATCAGGGTCGAACCCTCCGACTGTCAGACTGACGCCACTGTGGCTACGGCAACAGTTAACGTTGCACCCACACCCGAAAATCTTTTAGCCAATGTTACAAGAAAAATTAATATTCTTCAACGACAAAGCACGATTGATGATAAAAGTTATGGCTCAAAAGCTGCTCAAGGTCAGTTCCCATCTGGATATAGTTTGTCGATTAAGTAGCTTTTTCGTTTACATGCAAAAAACAAAAACAATAGGAAACCAATTTAATTTTCATGCTCTTCAGAACGACATGGAAGGCTTTCTTTGCGCCCCTCGCTACATGTTTTTTCCGCAATTCGTGGTTCCCTTAAAAGTGTTGACGATGGTACCGCTCCTGTCAACCCCTTACCAAATGGTGTGATCAAATCCTCAACCATTGACTCACCAAATATTCCTTATTCCTCTTCCCAACTACCCTCCCGTCGTATCACTCGATTTTCCTCCCTTCTACGGGCTTCTGGTGATGTATCTGCCGAGACGGAAGCAGTCGATATTCCAGGAGGTGGAGATCAAAATAGTTCTGTGAATGAGTTTCTTCCTCACCATCGTGCTGTCCTCGTGGAATTTCTATGCTGCTGTTGCTGTCGTTCAAACCAATGTTGCGATCGTAATGGAGCTTACACCAGTAGTACAAATGAAAGTTATTCAACAGGTTCTGGCAGATTACATCGTGATAGTAGCGGTCGTGGAGACGGTAGTAGCTCAGAACGAAGTCGAGGCGATTACTCTAATCTAATCGAAAATCATCGATTAGCTCGTCTTGTTACATTTTTGTCAATTCTAGCGATTCTCATTCTTGTATTCTGGTATATAGGTAAATTGATCCTTGAACAACAATCTGGCCTCAAAACAAACGCTTCTTCCTCCTCTCCCTCCTCCATCTCAATCTCCTCCTTTGATTGGGTAGATGATTGATGAGAAAATCGATCTGCTTAATGAGAGGTGGCCTTTGCATTCTTGAAATGAGTGGTATTATTTGCCTAATTGTACAGTAATATTTCTTCTCACAGTTAATTCGACCCCTCTTCCTAACTCCTTTTTATCTCGGTGTATGTAGATAGACTGATGACGATTTGATTCAATATCGCGCATCATAAGCAAATGCACAAAACTGACCGCTCTATGTATTTTTTGCTACCCAGTTCTACGAATACAGACTTGAAAATAAAATAATGTGATGTTGCTTATGCGTTTTTCTTGCAAGAAAAATAATTTTTTGAAATTAATTTGCAACTCAATGTGCCAAGAATTTAACTTGATACACCCGGCTGGTTAGCCTATGAGTAAAGCATAGTAGAGAATTGGTAATACGGCCGCACACTTCGCGTAACCGGAAGTAGGTTTATCGAACGCTAATTTACATTCCGATGTAGATGAATCAGCTTATTGGTTTATATTGGTAATGAAATTACTTTGACTCAAAAAAAACGAAATAAAACATCTGGCTTTTGTGGTAATAAGATTTCGTGTCAATTTAATCCCTTTAATTATCTTTTAAATAAAAGGCTAAATTATACCACAAACTAAGAATCAGCAACTTCTAGTGGATAGAACATTTAATTATCCAGCATTCGAAAAGGAAGATACAAATTATTATTAATGAAAAAATAAGCACTCTTACAGTGAAATTGGAGGTAGGTCATTAGAATCCTCTTATTTATCGGTAGAATCGTAAATGCCCTGCAATTGAAGCTAAGAAAATAAGATTTCCATCATTTCTTCGCATGAAAACCAGTAGCTATCCAAACACACGTTATGGCACTAATTATAACAAAAGAATCAGACTTACGCAAAGAAATTCGTCGAATTCAAACAAAGACGGTGGTGGTGGAGGGGATGTTGTAACCCCGGGAAGGCGATATAGCTGCCTGGACTTATTCACTAAAGAGCGAATAATTAAATACTTTCTTATATTATCCGTCCTATTAACACTCTTAATTTTACTTGCATTCAAGTTAAAATCGATAATTTAATAGCACGGGAGAACCTTTCCGTGGAGTCTATTTAGGAGCTGCAAGTGAATTTATTTTTATCAATCTAACACTCTTCTTTCGTGTTAATTTTTGAAAAAGAAATCTTTTTCAATTTTTATCTTAAAGCATATTGTTTGTAAATGACTTATTTAATAAAAGAATAAGCTAATTTGAAACTGCTGCCCCATTGATTTTAAAATGCTAAAAAAAATAGGATATAAGGCAAATAATTTTGAAATACTCCATGGTCAAAATCTAATTGAACCAAACTTATTAATTTATTGCATCGTCCAATCGGATTGCATTTCAGTAATTGCAATAAATTCAAACAGTGTTAGAGCATTCTCCGCGTCAAAAAAATTCATTTTGCCTCGCCTCTAGCAATGCATTTTGACGATAGAAATGCGTACGCCTTAACGGCTACGCAACTCGGGTAAAAACCTAAAATTTGAACAATTAGGACGACAAGGATTCAACATCGCATTAAGCATTAGAAAAGGCTGAATCAAAAAGGCACAAACGCGTTAAAATTGGCCTTTTTAATAACAATAGCCAAGCATTTTTACTTTTGAAAAAGCATTTAAACATGGGAAACACCGTAATAGCTCAGTGGGTAGTAATGCGCGGAGTTATGAGTGCTTCATTGGGTGTATGCATGGGCATAGTCCTAAAGTGTTTAGCACATAATTTCATTTATACATTTTTCTAAGGATGCAATATCATAATTGCTCTGATAGCTCATGTTGGTCAGGAAATATTAACTCGCTTGTTAATTTTGATGCTTCCTAATATTTAATTATTTCAAATGGCAGGGTTTTTGATAGTTATCATTAGCCCTTAAGTAAGCGTTTTGATGGTTATCATTAGCCCTTTATTTGACTTCTGGTGGCTTCACAGAGGGGAGGAACATCAAAGTGAGAAAAATTCAAGAGGGGGAACACTTCACAGAGGGGAGGAACATCAAAGTGAGAAAAATTCGCGAGGGGGAACAGAAAAGTGATTCAAGGATGCAAGAGATAGACAGACACAAATGCAGAGAAAAGATAAGTTGAGTATTGTGGAAGTGGTAGAATAGGACATAGAGTGTGGTCAAGGAAGTTTGAAGTTAGAAGTCAACTGCCGGTTTAAAGACTTTTTTGCCGTATGAATATACGTTGCCCAGGGTGCACCACGTGGAGGTAAGTCTATCGCACACCCCTCACTTAATGCTATAAATAACTATTTAGAGAGGTGACCAACCCAAGTTTGCACCTATATATATCAATTAACTATCAATTGACTATCTCAGGTACAACTCGAATGCTCTACATCATCCTTCGAGTCATGGAAGCAATTACATCCAACTCCCTTTCACGCTGAAACGCCTCACTTCACTTATAATAATAATAATAGTCAGAACACACGTTTTCGTTATGCAAATTTGAAATACTTTGCAAAAGGGACTATTCCCAAAATGCCGATATTTCTTTACTAACATGTGCGCTACTTCATTCTCAAACCAAGTTCATTCGACTTTGAGCAATTAAAGTACGACAACAGGCAAGATGCTAATGGATGATAAAAATTAGATAAGGACGTCAGCTTTGACATCACGAGGGTCAAACAGGACGTAACATGGCCCTCCGCTTATCGAAGACTCGAAATACTCCTAAATATAACCCTATGGGCCTGAAGATGGGTGTAGCAATCGTGAAAAGTTAGTTGCCCGCCTGGCTTCTGTAAATTATTGCTATTTTATTCTGCCTTGTGCATAATCCACAATAAGATGCTCAAGGGTAATTCCTTAGTAAATCCTGCCTAGAACTCTATGTCGATGGTCAAAGGGTTCTAAAAGGAATGGTTTGTCAATCAGAAATGAATTGGCCTCCTATCTCTCTAAATACATTCTTAAATTGACGAACTTTAATATATGCACACTTCTCGGGTTGATATTGTAGTTTTCCTAGAATTACTCTCAACGCTATTCTCCCACCGACAACAACACTATAAGTAAATTGGATGCAAAATAATCTTGCGATTTAACATTTGTCCAATTTCTCTTTCAAGCACCGAATTAGTACAATCACCATTAAACTTGTCCGCATTCAACTATTACTCTTAAAACTGACACTACCTTCCAACCTTTTCCTCTTCCGAAAATTGGGATTCAGAAATTGAAATTCTGCCCAAATTTTTCATCAATTTTCTAGTAACTGCTCACAAAGCCTCAATCCATTGCTTACTCATTTCGCCTTAACGAATTCCCCCTTATCATTAACCAACAAGATGCATTCTGGAAAGTAATTCTCAAAACTTAACTTTATTAAAGAAACTCAGGTACGATCATTGCTCCCTAGTCAGGCTCACGCAGTGTGGCCGGAGACACCGCGCATTTGGTGTGCACCAATGGCCACTGAATTCACCCCTTAATACGCTAACCACTGCAATACCAATTTAAGAATCCATGCACCATCTCCACCTCGTTTCCACTACGCCGTGGTAAAGCAAATAGAATATCTTTAAAAAACAGATTTACGAACCAAAATCGTGTCTTCAAAGACAACCTACAAATTTTCCTTAAATATTAATACTATTATTATTAATTTACCAAATTCATTGTCAAAATATTCAAATAGAAAAGCAGCATGTCTGGAAAAAATAAGAAACGAAAGCGAATCCCAGTTATGCTTGAGAATCATTAGCGTGACCCATGAATTCAACCAGAAAGCGACCCAAAAGTTCAGCATCTCTTTCTAGGATGCCAATGTTCACTTGAATTGATTCTAACGCCTGCTGAACTGCCCTAGCACAGGGAACAGGATGTTGTTTGAAGAAAGCCTATATGAACAAAAATAATAATTGCGGTAATAGATAGTGTAATGGCAACTTGAAAGCAAATAAGGAGATTAGAGTAGAAAAAATTACATCGATCTCTTCATAGTCCTCTTTCGTGCAGAATCCTTCGCAGCAACACTACAAGAGAGAGAGAAAGTGCAGATTGAAGTGAACAATTAGATAGTCTCTAGTTTCAGCTTATGCCAACCCTGTTGATGCGTCAAACCATTTTTTGTGAGACGCGCGATTACGAAAATACAGACCCTACTTCATTCAAACC